TATATATATATTTATTTCAAGAAACTTTATTAATTATTTTTTAAAAATATAGATTTAGAGGGAGTTCCTGATGAAGATCTTTGCAAGATATGTATGGAGCAACCGATAGACAGTGTTCTTCTGGAGTGTGGTCACATGGCTACTTGTACAGTTTGTGGCAAACAACTGAATGAATGTCCTCTCTGTCGACAGTATGTTGTGCGAGTTGTACATGTTTTCAGGGCTTGAAGAAAAACATTCTTTAATGAATGCTTGTTTTACTTGCATAGCAAAAACTTCCCTGCCACTCTCTATTGAATCAATGATGCTCTTCAGAAATTAGCAGTAGTTTTTAATTTTTCTAAAAATAATTCACTGAACTTGTGTACCCAACTTGCAAAAATTCAAAAGTTGTGAGCCCTCTCTTTATAACTTCATACTGTTTTTCTTTCTGCCTTTTCATTTTGTAAATAGAGTATTTCAACATATAAATTCCAACTACCCAAAAAATTCAACATTCATATGACATCCCATTTTTTATTTCAGTAGCTTAAAATTGAGTTGTTTTATTATTTAACATAATCATATTGATAAAAGGTATTAACTAAAAATTAGGTATAGATTCCTGTGCTTTGAAAACATAGCCTTATCATCTGTGGAAGCTTTAGTTCCTTATTTTAACTTCATATTTTTATGCTGTATAAATTTGTTTTAAAATATTCATTATCAATGTATATATATAATATATGCATTTGAAATATACATTAAATGTCTTCCTGTGGTTAAACATCCAGAACCAAACAAATTTTACATTTCTAAAACAAATCATTGTTCAATGGAATAGGAAATTCTCCATTTACAGACATATACTTTGAAGCAATTCTTTAAACTATACTGTTTTCAGAACCTAAAAATAATTATATCGTTTATGGACTAAAGAATAAGCCAAGTAGATGTACATGTTTTTCATGTTATTATCAAAAGTATGCACTTTTTTTTTTCATCAAATGTACACTGGGCATTACTTGTAAATGTGCTCAACATATCAGTATATCACTTCTAGTGGTTTATACTTTCATAACCTTTGGAAATATGCTAATATCTAGTCTATGTATATCGTTGTATTTCTGATAAGCTGAACTTGTTATAATTTTGTATTTGCAAACTGGTATTTACTGTTTATGCTATAAAGTTTTTTCAGAGCTTGTTTATTTATAAACATAGTTTATTGGTCAGAGGCTCACATGGGCTATCCACATGTTTACAAATTTTTTATTTTAATAGAATATTCGATAAAAATATCTGAAATTAGATACTATTAAATGTATTCAGTTTGTTAAGACAGTCGAGTTAGCTTTGTGTTGTGTAAATTCATTAGTTTTGTTAATTCATATTTGCTGAGTTAGTTGTGATAGAGATTTTACTTATACTAAGTATATTTTAAAACATGGTTAAATATTCATACATATTGTTCACTTTATATGGAAATAGGATATCATATGAACATATTTTTTTAGGAGCAAAACTGGATATAAACAAATGTACCTTCCAGGTATTCTTTCTTGATGATTCTGTTATGTTTTTGGAATATGATTAGCAATATAGTATTATTGTGCCACTTGTTGTAAAAGCTCATAGATTCAAACAGTAATTCTGTATATTTACATATGAATCATATTAATTGCCTGTCTAGAGAAGTCATTTATCAGTCTAGTTGAGGTCACGTAATTTTGGTACAAAAACGTTTTCAGCATAAAATTAAATGAAGTTTTAGCAGTGGTGAAAGTAACTAATTTCTTACTGGTACGGTAGTACTGTTTGCTCTCTCCCCACCCAACTACAAATTTTACACAAATCAAAACTGATAATTTATGTGGAATGAAGGTTCAACATTTGACTATACACATTTCAGTACTAACAGGTGCTGTAGTTAATAGAAGAAGAAAAAAAAGGTTTTATTTGAAAACATTTTTAGGTTGGAATCGAGTTAGAAATAGTACCTTAATCACATGCATGCATCCCATGGGACTGCAAGTAGAGCCTGAAACACAATGTAATGTGACACCCATTGTTACAACAAGTCAAAACATTAAATTGCCTTGACTAAATTATCTGTGTACCATCTTAATATCATCATTGGTTTTATTTCAGCTTAAGATTTTAGCTGCAAGTCTTTAACAGAATAATCATTACTTTTGAAAAATTTTCAGTCTATTAAGGAATATATAATTATATATATATATATATATATTAATTGTTCACGTAAAGTCTGCATCTTTGTTCAGTTTTTATGGTACTTTATATGTTTAACTGTTGCTACCATTGATGTAGAGAAAAATAATATTTACATTAACAAAATATATTAAACACATTTTTACACTACATTGTTACCAAAAAGGCCTTCATTATGTTAAGCATTGTGGCTACAACTTTGAATATTTTTCCTTTTCCTCTATAACACAGTGGTAATGATGAGAAAACTAGTGTTTGAGGAAAATAATTCCACTGAATGTTTTTCATCATACCAAATTTATGATGCAATAACAGTGAAACAATGAAATAAATTTCATTTAGCATCTGGATATGTTAAACTCTTACTTGGTTCTGATATTCTTGTAACATGTGCCTTTCTATCTCAGTATAAAATTGAGTGTGATGTGCGTTATCCATTACAAGAAGTGAATGAGGCTATTCAATTGTTTCATGAAGTATTGATTTTAAATGTGTTCATATTTTGTACTACGCACACGTGTACTTATATATGTGTGTGTGTTATGCTGAAAGTGGTTTGTGGTATAGTATTTGGTAACTATTCTTCAATTTGATAACTTTTTTCTTGGGACCTTAATTTTTATGAACTTTGATGTTTTTTATTATAATTTTCTTTTATCCTATGTATTATGTGGAGACCTGGAAAATATGATAAAACCAAATTACATTTCCTGAAGCCTTTAACATGAAAATATATTGATATTAATGTGTAGTTATATTTGTATATGTAAGAAGTAAACAGTATAACTATATTTTGTTAAATAATGACAATACTTGAAATATTTAAAATTAAAATTTGAATACTTGGTCACTAATTTCATGCGAAAAATTGATTTCCTAAAATCTAATTGAAATCTTACTTTATGTCTGTACTGTACAGTAGACAAGAACATTTTTGTTTGTGTATCATTAGGTTATTTTATACATGAAAGAACCAAAGATAACTAAAATGTTCAATCATTTTAAAAAAACAATGAAGTGTAAAATCAATAACCATAATTCATCATTAATTTAGGTTTTGTCACGAAGTGCATTCAAATACACAGTTGTTTTAGGACTTCAGTATCTCATAACAAAAATAATAGTTTAATTTCAATGTGATTGCAAACGATCAATCTCCTGTATGTATATATATGATAAATTTCTTTACTTGATATGTTTTATGATATATTCAACAATTATTAGATATTTTAAAGAGTTTTGTCACTTTAGACATCACATATATTTGAAAAACTTAATGCCTTTTGATATTACATATTTCTGTGTAGTTTCTAAATGATACTTTTAGGTACCATTATATTAACAAACTCTTGTGTTTGAAATAGTTTTGTAAATGAGAATATGTTGAAATTTGGACAAGGTTTTATGAAATTTTGAGATAATAAATATTATGTATATTAAATACAGAGTAGTTGTATAATGACGTGAAAGATTACACGGATAGATGAATCATGAGAGCATTTCTTTGCTTGTATAATACTGTAATAACAGTCATGAGATTGAGATGTTAGTTACCAAAACAAATCCGAAAATACATTTTAGTGATGGTGTTGGTAATGATAATAACAATATTAATTTGATTCATTTTAAGATTAAATAAATACTTGTAAAAAAAATTAACTTGCCTCATTTTTGCTTATTGTATAAATCAATCAAGATGGCAGTTTTAAAGGAAAAGAAAAAAAAAACTACTGTAGTGTTTTATGTTTGTGTAATTTGCTTACTTACTGCTCTTCTCGAGAATTAAAAATGACAAATGTTTTGCTTTATCCTGAACATTATGAACCTCTAGAACAAGTCTGAAAAATTTCATTCACCAGCTTTGCCTACTTTTGATTCTACAGCTATGTGAATTTTTCAAGGAAATTTTAACATTTTCAGTAACCTCACAAACTTTATCCAGCAATTAAAAAAAAAAAAAAGTCCATGTACACTTTTTTTTTTAGTGGTATGAATGTGAAAAGTTCAATATGCACACTTCTACAAAGTTTTATTGTGAAGAAAATATCTGCTTTAAAATGGCTTCCAAAATAACATGAAGTGCAGAAAGCAAACATTGGACTGACTGCTTGCAATACAAGCACCTAGCTGTTATGGCCAGAGGATTCTTATTTTCTATCTCTCAAATTTTATGATAGACTAATGCTAGTGGCATGAAGTAATAAATTCAATCACTGTATACTTAGTTGAGGCAGTTACCTATTTTATCAGTTTCAATATTACTCTTGGAAGAATGTTTCATCAGCATTGAATGATAAAAAACATCAATTACTAACAAATACCTTCCTTTTCCCCTAAGTTTGTCATGTAGCTGAGATCACAATTAGTGTCACCGCTGATTCCTGATTCTCAAACATTGTCATCCTTAAAGATAGCACATTTTTCCAATCCCATGTAATCTACCTAATAATGCAAGTAATATTAGCAACTAGCGAAAGTACCCGGCTTCACTCAGGTTATTAGGTTGATATATTCTAGATGACTGTGTGAGTGTGTGTATATCTTGAACCTATTTTAGCATCCCGCAGGTGGACGTATAGTCTTCAACTCTGCGCTTCTTTTGGTTTATACAAATTAATCGCAGCCTTTCCGTTTCAATTTTGGCATGCATTATGGATTTAGTGATGGGGATGCAAAGGGGCCATGAAACTTTGCAAGTTAAGTGAATGTTAGTTTGATTTAAAAATTAATGATTTAGAAATTAATAAATAAGCCCCAAGTAAAGAAAGTGCGAGATAACCTAGCTTTGAGCCAAGTGCATAAAATTTATCATGAAAGTAAAATTATTGATCCAATTTTAAACTTAAATCATTCCTGAATTAAGGTATTTTCTGTTATATCACCAATGTTTTTTAATAAAAAAAGCAAACCTCATTAATCAATGAAGACTCTAAATTAAGAAATCAAATATTTTTCCAGTTTTGTTGTTTATACATTTCATTTCAAACTTTCAGTTCATAGATTAACAACAATATTAAGTTACACTTTTGTTACCAAGTGACATGACATAAAAGGCATTGTTGAAACATTATTAAAACACACTGGCTTTTCTATATATTAGAAGTTGTTAATCTAATTGATATACTACAGTGTGGTAGTACTTTTCTCGTGATTTTTGATGGGCTATATAATAAAATAGCATGTCTGTCTGTCTGTGATTTCTATTTGAAATATAAGGAACCACTTCTTTTCTATGTGGATTTTTGTGAGCTTGTCTCATTAAAAAGATGAAAGTAGATTAGTAGTGATACCCAGGTGAAAAATGTCAGGTTTCTATGTTCTTTCGTCTTGGAGCTATGGCAGTCACACACCCTTTTGTTATTGTTATAGATATCCTGATATGCATCTCGCTTCCCTGTATTAGTTGTTTCCCTTTAACTAAACAATAATTATTATAGCAATGTGGGTTCATGTAAAATAAATATACACGAAATCCATTACTTGCACGTAATTTACATAAATCATTACTCAGTTGCACTAAACATGTGACATGGTGAATTAGGAGCTAAAAATGAACACAAGTTCAGTTTACAGCACATGAATAATACCAAGTTGCTTTAGTTTGCGAGATATCACCTGGTGTTTGAACTAAAACAATTTTTTTGCCCAAACACTTTAAATGGATGGTATTTTTAAAATAACTTGGATCAGATTAATCACTAATACTGCACCATGTGCTCTTATGTTATTTATTCTAGTAACTAAAGAACTTTGTGTCTCTTTTGAAGTTCATTGAACTTGTTTTTCAGATACACTTTATCACTGACTAAGCACTTTTGAAGTTTATTTTACCATTACACAATGCTAAAGTCTAGAAGTCTATAAAATAAGTTTACATGGGTGCAGTACTTTCACTTAGAGTATTTACTCAATTCTGAGTAGAAATACTTATATCTTTATACTCAAAACTTTGATATTGTGTACACAAGTACTTTTTCCTGTTATTTTTCTCTATTTTCAAATGATATTTCAGGCTCCATTCCAAATGTTTATGAGGTCTGTATTTTATGAAAGAACAAAACAGATTATAAAGCACTAACATCCTGATTGGTCCATGAATTTATCAAGCTTTGATAGGATACTGCTAGCTTACGTTTCTAGACCTTTGTCACAGTTTGTTCTGGGTTTGTCTTCTAAATGTTTCTTTAAATTTTAAAGTTTTTGTTGTGTAGTACCTAAAAATCATGTGTCCTCTGTTGTGTTCGGCCATTGCATACTTTTCTGGATATAGGAGCATATTTTTCATTTCTTCAATATAGATTTCACCACACCTCAAGCGGAAACTGCAAATTACATTTTTGTTTTTGTCTTTGAATAAAGTAATTTTAAGTTTCTAAAAACTTTTCCTTCATAGTTTAAATAGCATTTGAATGGTAGAGAGATGGTGTTTTAAAGTTTTCCCGAGGTATTCTATGATAGTTTTAGTAAAGTAGTGCTTGAAAATAACCACAAACCTGAAGAGGGTTATTGATGAGATATATTTAGTTCTTGTACAAAAGTTTTCCAAATAGATACCTCACAATGATGATAAAACGTTTTAGATATTATTTTGCCAAAAATTACTATAAATTTTTGAGAAAACCAAATTATAATGACGACAGTTTTTATAATGGAACATTAAAGTCAAATTTGTTATCCACATCAGTTGAAGATGTTGATTAAAGTTTAAGGCTACTCTGATTATCATAAACATCTGTTTTAAATTGGAGAAAACAATTTCATTGAAACTTTTTCAAACCATGTTTCTATGAGAGTTTGGACTATCGCTATAAGAATATGTAAGGTTGATTCAAGTTCTATAATATTACACATGAAGATGTTTCCGTAGCTCCATTTCTTTCCTTCTGTTTTAGCTTCAGGTAGGAGTATTCATGTTCTTTCTGCATCCAGTCAGGTAACGGTTTATTCCAATCTTCTGGAGGTTCTTTTCTAAGTTCCCAAATATTATTTGCTTGAGAAGCAGCTTGTCGCTGAATGATTCTATTTCGTTCACTTTCTAACACATTTTTCTGTAAAGAAGTACGGTACCACTCTATTTCAGGAAAAACTACTAATGTAAGTATCTTATTTTTCATACATGCATTTCAGAAGTTTTATCAACTGTCAACTAGCAATAGGGAATTACCAATACAATGCTTTTTAAATACCCTTTTTTTCTAAACTACCATCAGGATTGTAGTTAATCCTGTTGCTTACTGCATGAAAAATGAGTGGTTTTAACCAATTTATTTGAATCAGTTCTATATACTAAGCATTGTAACAGACAAAAACATGCTAGTTAATGGCATAAAAAAAACTCAAAATTTAAGGGTTAAGCCAGTATTTGAAAATACTTGCATCTGGATCAGAGTTTATTTAATAAACAATCCACAATTAGTTTTCACCTTCTATCTTATAAAATCATAATACAAAACTGATGTGTTCTATCTTTTGGACAATGGAGCAGCCATCTTCAGAAATCAGAATAAATGGAAAATACTTTTTTTTTGGGTGTGGGGGGGGGCGTTTTAGTAAGCTGCATGTAGATTGACTAACATTTATTGAAAATTTTGGTATACACAGAAGTGTGCAGGAAGAAATATATATATGCACATTATGATGTCTAAGTTGCAGGACTAATTGAAATTTACTTCCAGCTACTTTGTACTCATTGTCTTAGAGAAACAATTACACTACTCAAAATAAATTTCAGACAAATTTGAAAACAATGATAAAGAAATGCAAATAATTTTTGTGCATATAAATATTTAGATGTTTTATATCATTATATCAAGCTGCTAAAGCAAATTAGAAGTTTTAAATCAACACTTCAGATATTATATGATGAAATGTTAACATTTTCCTTAACTGAAATGTATTTCTGATAGATGCTCACCTTTCACACAGAATGGCTTATTTTCCTCTTTAGATTGCACAATCTGCCAAAGAGCATTCCAAATCACCAGCCTTCTGAAAACTCCCAACTAATCTCATGTGAAACTGCCAGAGCATGATGACATAATCAAGCAGCAAAACCCTCCACCAATAGTGTGACACACCTCCATGCACAATGATGCTTTCTATATTCACACTCGTGAATCCTCATTCTTTGACAAGGCAATAAAGAAATGTCCTCCAAGAAAGTGTGGAGAATGGGTGGGAACATATGGAGGAGAGTATTTGTATGAACTACATTTTCAGATAAGAAAAATGTTAACTTCTGAAACAAATACTCACCTCTCTACACAGAATAGCTAGAACCCCACATTGAAATGAGGGAGGACCAGTGCAAATTGCCTAGATGAAGTCCCTTCAGAAAGCATCCAAAGGAAGCCCATGGGATGTGAAACCTGATGGCAGAGGCTCCATGGGAGACTGCAACTTGTCTCATCCACATATAAGAGCGAGACATATGTCACAAAGACGAGCAGAATAAGTACATGACCAGCCATGTACACACACACACAAACTGTCAGGTAGCACTATGTATTGTAAGATGAGAGCTTATTTAAACTGTACCTTGTGTGCTCACCTCCTCTACCATCAGACTTGATGGGTCAAAACCAGATGTGGGAGAAAGGCACTTGTGGTAAGTATATGTGCTCACTTCATCTACCATCAATCACTATAGGCCCTATGCAAGGTGCAGGAAGAGGAAATTGTATGGAATCATGTCAGTATGGATACTTATAATAATCTCTAAACAATCATCAGTCACTACAGGCCCCTTACCTGCTGTGGGAATAGGGTGTGAGAGTGATATATCACTGGTGTATATGATTTGGTCATCTCAACTCTACCAACAGGCTCCATGGCAGTTGCAGGAGGAAGGTATCATATTAAATAACTCTCAATTTGATCATAAGTCTCTATGGGCTATATGCCAGATATGGAAGCATTCCTTTTTAGTACAATGTAGAATGGACTGGAAAGAGTGTCTACTTTGAATCTGCTGAACAGATTTTGGCTGCAAGAGGAAGATTAAGATAAAGTCATATATAAAGGATTGATCCAAGTTGAGACGCAATATAAATATGTATATGGAGTGACTTCAGCCCTACTTTTCATGTAGAGGGACCCCTTGTTCTAGCCCCAATCTGTGAAGATTCACCATGGTCCACAATCCCGTCAGCTGGGAACTGGTAAGTGACAAGGGTCTCCCATGTTTCACTTGATGATGGAGGGGAGATGCATAGAATTTGTATGGATCTGTGAAACCTTATTTTTGAAAGCCAGTAAGTGCTAGCCAGAGAAGTGAGAAGATACGCAACTCTGGTACTGGCTTTTTCTGTGATAGTCTATAGAATGAATACCATATGGACCAATCATGAAATTTAATATAGATATGTAATGAGATACCATAAAAAAAACGCAAGTGGTCTTGCAGGGCACCCCATCTCACAGTGGGCAGGTGTAGGGCCAGGACAGATGGTATGAGTGCTTTCCATTATCATAGCCTGATGTGGATTTTGGATAAGTATACCCTGGGAGGCAACTCTAGATGCCTAGTGGGGATCCTATAATAAGTTAATTTTAAATAAGAAAAATAGTACACTCACTTGTTGATAGTTGAAAGATGGAATGAAAAATGGCAATGAGCAAAAATCTAAATACCTCTGAAGACAGCCAGGTGGTTAAGATAGTGGTTGACAAGGTGGAAGGGTAACACAAGAGTGGGACAAAACAAAAGCAACATGATTAAATAGTCTGATAGACTTGGGTAGGAGTTGGTTGAGAGAAGACAGAATAATAGAAGCCAAAGTTAGGCAGGCCAGTAAGGTGCTCCAAACAAGACTCTGCAAAGGGTGTCCTGAAACAGAGCAAAGACCCAAGGAAGGAGGCAGATAGAATAGGCATAAAGATGGGGCCAGTCTTGACTGAGGGCATTGACATTCAAGGCTGACAGGCGAGGTACAAGAGACCAAAAACGGGGAAGTTTGGTATTCATGGGTGTGACAAAGGCATCTGTCTATAGGGGTAGTTCTGAGCAGATACAATGGAAGATTTGAGGATGGATGGACCATTCCATGCATAGGACACAGTCTCAACGAGAAAGCCCAGGATGATGTTCAGTGCACCTAGAACAGGTTCAAAGTCTGAAAACAGAGGTTCCTAGAATGGGTGCCTCCTTGGAAAATGGTATTAGATATATGCTAGAAAGGAAATGAGAGCATGCCCCATGCCTGATGGACAGTGAATAGTTTAAGAGCATTGATATTTAGCTACACTACCAAAGGAACCCAAAGTCAGATAGTCATTCAGGAATTGTCCCCATCCAGAGAGAGAAAAGCATCTATGGAGAGGTGAAGGCCTGGTTTGGGAGGAGGTAAGAGAGCTACGGAGATGGTGTCGGAGTAGTCTTAGCCACCAAGCAAAATCCTACAGTTGAGGAGGAGGGAGGAAAATTGGTGAGGGCAGTGGATCCCTGAAAAGGTTCCATTTATCGTGCAATGCCATCTACAATGGGCACTTGTGTAGCCAAATGGAATGAGAGGTTCCAGAGAAGCCATGATCCCCAAAAAAGATAGAATCTCTAATGCCAAATGTGAAAGCGAGGCATAAACTTTGGTGACCAAGGCCCAATAAGAAACTGGCGAAGGTTGGGTATGGCCGGGGTAAGAGTTGAAGATAATCCCAAGAAGGATAAGATAGTAGGTTGGGGTAAAGAAAGGCTTGAAAATCTTGATGAGCCACCCTTAACAAGCAGCTTCATGAAGAAATAGGAAAGAGTGTTTGGGGGATTCCACCTGGGAATGGATAAGGAGAAGCCAGTTTAGAAATGGAATCATAGACCCATACCATGAAAATGTTGAGTGAAGGCCCACATAATGTGATTGAAACATAAAGAGTTGATGCTATTCCAAACAGAAGGAGACAGGACTAGGAAATGTGATAAAAAAAACATTGTAAGGATGGGGTGAATAGGATGTGAAGAAAGGTGTCTGTCACATCAACTTTGGTTGTAGACTGGCCAGGTTGGAATGACTAACAGAGAGGAAAATGTTTCATCCAAAAATGTGAGATGACAAAGAAATGATTGATGGAGGAAATGTTGATAACTGTGTGTTAGTCCCCGGTATTTTTGGGAACAGCAAAGAGTTGGGAGAAATAACCAGAGAAAGGTCACAAACTCTCTTTATGGTCTGTTTCTCCTACAAATCTAACACTCCTCCCTTCAGACATTGAAGTTGGCCAGGATATATGGGTATTGAAAACCAACAGGTTGGGAAAGAAGAGTAGGGGGAAAATAGATGAAGAAAACAACCATGGAGAAATAACTTGAGTAACCCATGTGTCTGCAGAAAAATGTGACAATAGATCTGGAAACTGAGACAGACAGGCCCCCATAGGTCCCCAACCAGAGGCTGGTGGGTAAGACATTGGATGGAAGTAGGATGGGAAGAGACAGAAGGTTGGGATACAGGGACAGAACTGGGGAGCAGAAGAAATGCCAGGGCAATGAACAGAAGTGGATGGGTGAGGTTGGGACAAACAGGAAACTAGGAAAGTAAGGGAAGACTGGCAGAGAGCAGCTTCAGCCCATGATTCAAGGGAATCAATAACACTATCAATAACCTCTGGAAAAAGAGATGGGACAAAACAAATTTCCCAGAAGTAGGGAGGGAGACTTGAGAAAGTGGAGTATCTCTTCCCAAAAGGAACCAAGTGAGAGGAGAAATGGTAGGGGAAAAGGAATGAGCCAAGGTAGAGAAAAGGAAAGCTCTAGCATCCCCAGAAAAGTTATGAGAGGAACAGTGAAGCACTTCCATCATAAAGTGAAGGGAAGAATAGTATCTCAAAGGAAAATTGGGCACTATATCATAGATAGGGAAACAGTGGGGGCATAAGATTATTGGAAGTTTATCTAGAAAAAATGTGATATGTACAAAATTGTCTGGGGGGAGAACAAAGAAATAACGAGGAATGGTTGTGTAGCAGAGAATAGGAAGGGTCAAAAGATATGGGATAGCGAAAAAGAACTTGTATATCAGAGTAATAAGGTTTTGAAAACTGGAGGAACAGTGAGATTGTCCTTCAGTGGGTAAGGACATTCACAAAACAAAACATGGAGGCCGAAAAAAAGAGCTCAAATTCATCCTCCTCAATTTTGGATCAATGGATAAGGAAAGGAAGTGAATAGAAAGGACTGAAGTAGACAGTTCTTGCTACATCATGGAGAATGGCTGTTATGTCTTCCACACGTAAAGAACTTCCCACCAAATTATTGGTAATTTGTTCAGGGTGAGTAATATCTTCAGCCACATCAGCAGAAGAAGAGTTTACATGAAAATGTATTCATATTGAGTATGTCTAAACTCGATCAAGTGAAAGTTGAAAATCGAAAATGTGGCAAATTTCAGCAAATTGGAACACACATCTGTTCATGACAGTGCTGAGGAAAAGAAAGAGGATTTACAAGTGCAACTGTAGAGGGCATCATTGAGCATAGTGTGTCACACTCCTATTGGTGGAGGGTTCTGCTGCAAGATTGCATCATCATGCAGTTGCACAAGTTCACGTGAGATTAGGTAGGGGTTTTCACAAGGCTGGTGGCTTGCAATTCTCTTTGGCAGATCGTGCAAACTCAAGAGGCAAATAAACTCTTCTATGTGTGGAGGTGAGTATTCATTTAGGAAACTACACGCCTACTTACATCATCTTAAAACTTTTGTAAAAAGGTAAATAATTACCTGATAAACTCCTCAAATGGCTTAAGTCTATGTACAAGAACACAGTAAAGGTAAATTTACAGAGTGTATAGTTATTCACCCATCATTATGTTTCACACTTAGTTCTTTATAAAAAAAAAAAAAAGCATACTCACAAATGCATCAATGTCTCTATACTTTCTCCAGGACATGCAATTTTTAAAGTCATTTTGCCACTGAGTACAGTCTACTGTTTGACCATGAACAAAATACTGGTGAAATCTGGCCTTAAGACCTGCAAGAAAAACAAAGTTATCTCTTCATTTGCCAGTAATTTTTTTTAAGCTGTACATGAAACCTGTGGGTTAAATAAAACAGATCTTTATAGCATTTTGTTTGCAAACATACATTCAAGCAACAAGGAAATGTAGTTTATAACTATGTAGTAAATTCCAAATTTCCTTTAAATATTGGTGTTTTTCAATTTATTATTACATATATTGTGTAACACCTAAAACTGCATTCTTTTAAAATCTTTTTACATATACCTTAAAGATATACATGTATAAGCCACACACACTAATTAACCTTCAAATATTGTAGTAAGCTGTGTGTCTACTATATTTATGCAATATATTACTGTATTTTATATCTTCACACAAAGAACAGAAATAAACTTATTTATGACACAAAACAATAATAAATACTTAATAAATCATTCCAAGTGATGTATAAATACACTGTAATTTTTGTTCTATGTGTATTACATGTTATGCTGTGCAAAACTAAATATCAATGTACTCACTCTTACAGTCTTTATATTCTTCTTTATACCATTCACAAGGATGTACCTATAAGACCAGAATAAGTTACAAAACTTTTATGAAGTACACCACAATATCCAAACATAAAGCCATTTTACAACTAACGTACACTGTAAAACAGTGAACTGATTAACTCATGTTTTACAAATAGATAAGAAGAAGCATGGCAATTCCAAAAGTAAGTGCTTCAACTACCTATGTTTAGCATAATCACAAAATACCAGAACTTGTAAAGGTAGATGAACCACTGCTTCACCAGAACATATTTCAAGGGCCACTTATAAAAAAGTTTCAACCTTTACTGCCAGAATCAAATATACACCTGGAAAAAAGTTAATCACCCCCAAATATTTTTCAGGACTGCTTATTGAAAATAAGGTTTAATTTTCATGATGTTGAGCAATGTTCATAATTTCAAACATAATTAAAAGGATGTGAGCGTTCAGGTGTGACATTTAAATCAGGCACGTTTTTTTCCCCCACGTGCAACTTGCTCCCTTCTTCACGTCCAATATGCACTATTTTC